GTAATATAACTTAACCTCTGTTACATTATAGAATTTTGACAAAGTAGTCCAAAAAAATAGAGATAAATTATTTTTGTCAAGACGCACTGAAAATTGTAAGTTCTGTCAGTGGGACCAATGTTAGAAGATAAAATTGAACATAGGGAGTGAGTAACATGAGATTTTCCCTTTTGGTGATGCCTTGAAAAAAAATATGTAATAAACATATTTTAAATAAGTCATAGCTTTGAAAAGTGGTTGATATAGCGTGAGGTCTGATTTGGGAAATAAATTTATCTCCCACTGTTTTCCTCTGGCAACTGAATAAATCATATATATCAGAACATTTAGGAGAGGAACTACAAAACTGGTATTTTAAAAATGTGTGCTGTATCAGAATGGAGTGAAAAGTACAATTGTAGTCATATTTTTCATACTTATATATTGAATAAATATCACTTTTGAAAATACTTATGAGCATATGTCTTCATGAAATAAAAGTTAGCAAAAATGGCTATCTACATGATGTGTTGAAGGTAAGAATAAATTTTATGTGTTTAACTTAAAAGATTTAGAATTTTCCAATTTATTACATATTTTATAGTTGTTATGCTCTTTTAAAAAAGCATACAAGAAAAGTGAAGTCCATTTAAGAATATATAGCAATAACCTATTGCTTTGCTTCAAATATATGCATGCAATGGATTTTTAATTTTACACAATTTAAATTGTGCATAATTTAATTATAGAATTGACATTCTAACACTTCCCCTCAAAAAATGTGAATTAATTTTGGCCATAATTTTATTATACTCACTTTTAAGAAATAACAGAGGGAACTCATTTAGCACTCACCAAAGAACTTCCTTTGAAGGTATCACAGCTGAGAAAGTGATGCTGTTCGTCCACCAATCTTATTTGAGATTATCTACCAGTTGTAGATGATAACTCATACAGGGAGTTTTTGAGTATACTACTTTCTCAGTACATCTTCCTGATATTGAAATATAATTTAATGGTCTATTAGTAGCAATGCTTCAAATGCTTCAAATGAAATGAATAAAAATTATTTCTGTAAGTTCCCAAGGCCTATTTTTGCCTTGACTTGAGAATTCCTTCTACATGTATGAAATACAATATCAGTTTATGCTATAATTTTTATTTCAAGCAATGCTATAATCTGGAAAAGATAGAGATTGGAAGAGAAATCTGTATCCTAGCTTCTTAAACTATGTATTGCTTCCGATGTGGTTGTTTAACTTTTAAAAATTATTTAAAACAAATTTATGTTTATTCATCAGCAATCTTTGATTTGTGTACCTATTTTATATGCTGATATACAGAAGTTTACACAAACCTGAAGCTCTATTCCTTCTATACCTTTCTGTTTATAATATGTTTCCTCTTTGTTCAGATTAATAGAATTCTATTAATCTCCCCTCAAGTTCACTGATTCTGTTCTTCATCCTCACTGAACAATTGATTCAATCATGTGAATTTTTAATTTTGACCATTACACTTTTGATTTCCGTATTTGTATTAGGTTCTTCTTGCTAGAAATATTTTTGCTGATTGTTTTTCAAAATAAGAAGTAATTGTTTACTAGATTTTTTTTCATAAATTCTTTAATTTAAGAACTGGGTAATTTCAGCATCTGTTTCAACTCAGTGTTGATGTATAGTGATCATTTTTTCATTCAAGTTTTGTTTTTCCTGATATTTGTCTCACACAGCAGGTAGGCCATTTGCCTTGCACGCAGCCAACAACATGGCCGACCCGAGTTTGATTCCTCCACCCCTCTCAGAGAGAGAAACTTCCAGAAGCCAGGCTATCTGTTGGTACTAGGTGGTCATGTTTGAAAAATAAAACTACTGGACTCTGTGTCAGGCTGTTCTCACTTGTGGTGTCCCAGAGGGGTGCGTGTGAGATCCCTCCTCGCACCAAGGGACTCAGCCCTGGCAGCTAACCTCCAGTACCCAACCACCGCCACGCTCCAAGACACTTTCCGGACTGTGCGGCCGGAAAAATCATAAGACATTTCCTACCCATTTTCTATAATTACCACAACATATTTGTTGGAGTTCACAGAGCAGGCAACAAATGAGAGGGAAATATATATATATGTATATATATATATATATTTATATGATCCCGGAGAGCTACCGAGAGTATCCTATGGCACGGGTAGAACCTGGCAAGCTCCCAATAGTGTATTTGATAGGCCAAAACGAGTAACTATATCAGGTCTCATTCACCTGACCCTGAAATAACCTCCAATTGTTGAGAAAAATGAGTAAGGAGAGGCTGCTAACATCTCAGGGCTAAGACGAATAGAGATATTACTGGCGCCCGCTCGACTAAATCAACAAACAACGGGATGACAGTAATGACAGTGATGAAAATGTCAATTCTAAAACTCACATTTATTTCTGAGGAATTGCTTCACTGCTCCTGCTGCCCAGTAGGCATTATTTCTTAGTGGGCAGCAACAGTCTCCAGTCTATTGAGGAATGATTATTTTTGAAGGTCACTTATAATTAGTGATGGTCCCACTTAATTCCTCTCATTGGTGGCAAGACTTTCCCAATGTTTCTGACAGGACTCCCATTTGATCCATGATAAATTGATTCTGTATAAGCCACCTTCTAGTTCTTGGTTGTAATTAGAACTCAGTCATGCATTACCCTTTTTCTTTCTATTGGTTGTGATTCAGAATATTATTCCTCAGTTCCTGTTGTCTACATCCAGTGATCCTTTTATTTTCTACCTTGCAATGTTCTTCTGTAATTTCCTCTTCTTGCAAGGGTTTACAGCCTTGTTAGTGGGTCTGGAATGATATTTTAACTTCTTAATGTTTTGTTTCCCATAACTAATCAAGAGGAATAAAAATCACAAAACACCTAGAACTATGAAATCAAGTGATCTGCTTAATAGAATAGGTAATTTGAAGCAACAGATGCATTCTATATTAAAAATAATTAACAGATAGAATAATAGAGAAATTACCTTACCAGAAAAAAATTTTAATCATGGACTGCATTTTAGGTGTTTTACAATTGAATGTTGGATCTGGTTAAAATGAATATTTACAAGTAATCTGAAGAAACATTTTGATAGACTCAACGTGGACTGGGGAGATAATATAGGTGTTAAGATTTTTGCTTTGCGTGGGACCAACATTGACTCCATCTCTAGCATCACTTCACCCCTAAGGTGCCATTAGATTTGCCAGCCCCCTCGAAATCCCCCAAATATATATTTGGTTTTATTGTTAACCTTAATCAATTCTTCAGACATATTTTACCTAACTGTAAAATATTTTACCCTCTGTGTTTATAAGTAAAGACTTTTTGTAAAGTTCTTTGAGTAAGAAAGCTGTTTTGATCACTATTGAGAGCTACCTAATTCAAAGTTTTGTACTAAGATGCAATCATTTAATTAAAATTGATATTTGGAGCAGAAAAGCGATTGGACTATGTGTTAAACCGTGCCATCATGCCTGCCCAGAGGGGAAAGGGTGTTGCTCCATTCGCCCTCTCCTCTCTGGAAAGAAAGATGGCGGCCGTCAGGGAGCCTCGTGGACAGCAGGTTTGAGCCGGGGGTGGGGGGCGGCAGGGGCCTCATGGGAAGGGGGGCGTTTCGGTCCGTCCTTCACGCCCTACCGAGGTCACCAGTTGCCCCCCACGAGCGGCTCTCCGGCACGGCCACGGCCCCAGAAGCACAAGGTCTTAACGCAGAAAACCAGCCGTTTGGAGCAGAAAAGTGAATGGACTATATGTTAAACCGCGCCATCATGCCGGCCCAGAGGGGAAAGGGTATTGCTCCATTCGCCCTCTCCTCTCTGGAAAGAAAGATGGCGGCTGCCAGGGAGCCTCATGGACAGCTGGTTTGAGCCGGGGGTCGGGGGCGGCAGGGGCCTCATGGGAAGGGGGGCATTTCGGTCCGTGCTTCACACCCTACCGAGGTCACCAGTTGCCCCCCACGAGCGGCTCTCCGGCACGGCCACGACTCCAGAGCACAGAAACCAATCTCTTAACTATCTAACTTTTAATAGAAATACTTCCAGGGTAAATAAGTAAAATAGCAGAAATCCAAAACCACGTGGCCTCTATTGCGGCTGCAAGACATCATTTAATTCTTAAGCCCAGCTGTAGAAAGCAAATCATTTCACAATGCTTTTTCAGCATGTCTGATTGGGGGGGGCGTTGTAAACTCTAAATAATAATGGTGCATCCTTTATCGAAACAATGAATCTAGTCAAAGTAGATAGAGTGTTAACTAGAACTCATCATTCTCACAGGAACTGGGAGGGGTGGGAGGTGGGGTTCTATTGGGGTTCGCGGTTAAAAATAAATATTGGTAAAGGGAAATGTGTTTGATATTTACATGACTGAGACCTAAACCTGAAAGCTCTGTAACTTTTCCCATAGTGATTCAATAAATAAATAAATTATAAAAAAAAATTAGAAAAAAATGAAAAAAAATTGATAGCATTAGTGAAAATATAATTTTACTTTGATTTAAAATATTTTAACACATTGAAATAATCCTTTAAACTATTTTCAGGGCATATAATTTGATTTATGCATTTAATTTAGGGTGGGAGTGTGGAGGAATCTCCCCAGCAGTGCCCAGGAGGCCAGGAAGCTTCTCCCAGGAATCTTAGCCAACTAGCCCACTGATTAAGTATGAGGACCAGGTGGACTCCAGTACTAGCAATTATTTGGCCACCCCAGCAGTACTTGAGGCTTACAGGTTCTGGGGTGCTGGAGGCAAAAGAATCCTCCAGGGCTGCAGCCAATATGCTGGGTAGACATGCTGTCCTGGGGATCAAAGTGAGATTGGTCACATGCAAGCATGAACTTAAGCTCCTCTGCTATCTCTGTGGGCCCTGAACATAGAATTCAGCTATATGGCTAAAGAAAATATTTTGTGTTTTTTTTCTATAAACGCATAGTTTAAAAGGACTGAATTTTCCAAGCGGTATTACTCTCCATTTTCAATATTTATTTTCTTTTCAGCTTTAAGAGACAATAGAATCGAGCTGGTGCGGGCTTCCTGGCATGAACTGAGTATCAGTGTCAGTGATGTATCGCTTTCGGATGAAGGACAGTACACCTGCTCTTTATTTACAATGCCTGTCAAAACTTCCAAGGCCTATCTCACTGTTCTGGGTAAGTGCAAGGTTCTGACACTCTGTAATCACAAGCATAGCAATGTGTTTGCTACAGCAATATGATGCAATTAGCAAATTGTGTGTGTGCGTGTGTGTGTGTGTGTGTGTGTGTGTATGGTTAGACTAATAGATGTACTCTAACTTCCGTCCTGCTAGAATATAGCGAAAGACACTTGAAAACAATCGCTTTCCCATTTTATCAATTGGAGAAGGAAAGTGTAAAAATTTATATGACTTTGCAAGAGCACACAGCCATTGTTTCTTTGACAGCAGGTTCATTGTTTCAAACAAACTATCTCTGTGTCTAATCATTATAGTGTACACATGGCCCTTTCATAAGCGATAGAATAATGAGCATAATAAATTCAATATGTCTTTCAGATGCCCTTCCATTTTGTATGTCACCTTATGAGAGTCCTCTGGGTTCTTAAGGCTTAAAATATAACCTTTGTCTAGTTCAGTGCATTTAAATGACCCTGATATTTCGGTGTATTGTTTTTTTTTTTTTTGTCTTTTGACTCTATAGTTTTCTAGATTCCTAAATGAAGTACTTAATGTCACTTGTGCATGCAGCTTGTAGCTTCTTTGTGCTTTTATTCTCTAAATATTGGACCATTTTGCCAAAGGTTAAAGTGACACAAAAAGCAATACATTCATAGAGATTCTGAGGAAATAAAGTTGCAGTTCAGAGCTCTCTGTGATTCCACAGACGTCAGTGGCCCAATCAGCTGAAATTGCTGCAGTTCATTGAAACACACCTGTGTACTGCACACGTTAGAGGAATTTAAAGATTGATTTTTTTCCCCTGAACTTGTCTTCCTTTTTTGATAGATAAAGGCATAACATTGCATTTGAAGGAACTAATGCATGCTCTTCTTTGGGGTAGGACTATTAAAGTTAATCCAGCTAGTGAATTGCTTTTGTGCATAGGATATGAAATGTTTCTTTGCAATTCCCACTGGGACTATTTTATATAAATCTTTGCCAGCTTGGTACTAGATATTCAATATGCCCAATAAAATGCAGTATTTTGGGATAACAGCTGCCTAAAGTCAATGTAATGTTCTTGAGACCTCAAGAATATACAACTGACTGATTTCACCTTCTTAAATGGTGGTGTGATAGAATTTTCAGAAGTAATATGAATAATAGTAGGCATAAAAGAAAACTAGTTAGTTAATGAGAGCATATTGATGTGTCACTTTTCTTTGTTTTGATGTTATTAATTCTTTACCGTTGTTTTTCAACATTTGATTTTTGCAAACTGAATTAGATTTTTTTTTGATTTTTTTTTACATTTGATTCTTGCAAACTGAATTTTTTTTTATTTTATTTTTACATTTGATTCTTGCAAACTGAATTAGATATTACATATTTTACAATAAAAAACCTTTAAATCTACCTTTGATTGTGGGGTGTTTTATACAAAGACTACTAAAACTCTACCATGACTTCAGACTATTGAGCTCCAAGAATGTGTAATGTACTATCATTGAAATCACATGTGTATGCTATTTATATGCTTATTTATTATATGATTTTGCCTAGAAAGGATTTTAAGTGGCTAGCACTAAAATATAACTTTATTTCAATCCTAACACCAAGGTGCATTTTCTACTAAAAAGTAATAAAACGTAAGCATACCTAAAATATTTTTTAAAAAGTTACTCCAAAATGGAGTTGGAGTGATAGAACAGCGGTAGGGCGTTTGCCTTGCACGCAGCCAACATGGCCGACCCGAGTTCAATTCCTCGCCACTCTCGGAGAGCCTGGCAAGCTACCGAGAGTATCTCGCCCGCACGGCAGAGCCTGGCAAGCTCCCCGTGACGTATTCGATATGCCAATCACAGTAACAACAAAGTCTCCAATGGAGACGTTACTGGGCCCGCTTGAGCAAATCAACGAACAACGGGAGGGCCTTTACTGTTTACTTTACTCCAAAATGTATTTTCTTGTACAAAGTTAAAAGAAGATTAAAGTATTTTGAAGGCTTTAAGAGAAATGAATCAGAAATAAAAGGTGCCATTTTAGTTAAAACTTTTTTTTAACATAAAGAAAAGGTAAAGGAGAGAAAATTTACTTTGAGAATTTTTTTCCTCAAATGGCAAATCTATCTTTTTAAATACCTGTAATTATAAATATTAAAATATAAATGAATGGCTGTTTTTACGGGGCTGGAGCGATAGCACAGCAGTAGGGCGTTTGCCTTGCACGCAGCCAACATGGCCGACTTGAGTTCAATTCCTCTGCCCCTCTCGGAGAGCCCGGCAAGCTACCAAGAGTATCTCGCCTGCACGGCAGAGCCTGGCAAGCCACCCGTAATGTATTCGATATGCCAAACACAGTAACAAGTCTCATGATGGAGACGTTACTGGGCCCGCTCTAGCAAATCGTGGCTGTTTTTAAAATTTTCAAAGAGGACTTTTGCAAGTAAATTTATTTAGATTTTATTGATCTTTTGGTTAGTCTTGTGGCCACCCCCTCGGTGCTTAGGGCTTACTCTTGTTTCTGCACTCAAGGATCACTCTTTGCAAGGCTTGAGGAATCATATGGGGTTCCGGGGATGGAACCCAGGATTGCCTCATGTAAAGCAAGCACCTTCCTATTGTACTATCATGCCAGCCTTGGTAAATTTATTTTAAACAAATTTTTTGAGCTAAATACATTATAAATGCTTTAGGGCATATGCATACATAGACAGGATGTATATATACACATGCACATATAGAGAAAGACTATATGTAGAAACTATATATATGTATATATTCATGTATATCTTAAATATTTTTTATGCTATGGTAGTTTTTTTTTCTTTTTTAAAAGTTATGGTCAGTTAACTCTGTTGTGTTCTGTTTGTGAAATAAATAATCATAAGAATAAACCAATACCAGAGAATGATATTTACTTCATTCATCTTGAATTTCAGGTGTTCCTGACAAGCCTCAAATTAGTGGATTTTCATCACCGGTGATGGAGGGAGATTTGATGCAGCTGACTTGTAAAACATCTGGTAGTAAACCTGCAGCAGATATAAGATGGTTCAAAAATGATAAAGAGATTAAAGGTAAAAAGTCCACAAATAAATATGTTGAAAATAGCTGTGCTTGATACAGAACACAAAATATTTCTTTTTAAACAAGTCACTTTCTGCCCTGAGCAATAAATAGTACAGGAGGTAGGGCACTTGTGTTGCATCAATCCACCAAGGCTTGAACCTTGGTACCCTATATGGTGCCTTGAACACAGCCATGATCCCTGCGCACAGAACCAGGAATAAGCCCTTTAAACCACCAGGTGTAACCTCAAAACAAAAACAAACTGATCACTTTCTAATTGTGTGTCTTTTGCACTTTTTAATTGTGTGTCTTCTGAATGAGAGTATCCATTTCTTAAAGGAACGGCTTGTGTAAGATTTATCGTTATCAATTCTACACAATATAGTTTCCCTTTATTTAAAATAGATATAACAATAATGTATCCCTCGTTTATTATCATCTGAAGCAGTTGGAGTTGAACTCCAACTATGCCACAATAAGGGTAAATAAAATATGGCTGAGGGAAGATTGCTTAAGAGTAACTAGATAAACCCAGGTCTTCCTAACCCACAAATAACTGGTAGGAAGCAACCCACATCAATTAATCCAAATCTAGGAACCACTCTTTGAACCTCCAGAAACATAACCAGAAGGAGGGAGGGTATAAGCAATGTTTTCTGCACCCATCTTGAGTTCCAGAAGGAAGAGAATAACTAAGGACTGCTTTCCTTTCAACAACTTGCACAAACCCTATTAGCTTTGTGAGATCACACTGGGTACCATAGGAAATAGGAAAGGACATCCAGGCACGAGAAACCTTGAACAAGTTGCCTCTCAAAACCTCTTGATGTTGGTACACAGCTTCCTCTGAAAACTCATGATCTTAAGGTTCAGGTCAACCGTAGGTCTAGAATGGACGTGTGCTGCAAAGTTGTGCTTGAGATCTCCTGTGAATCACCCAGACCTGCCCAAAATTTAAAATATGATTTTAATGGCACTGGTAATTTTGAAAATTTCATTACATTCGTGACCGGTTTAAAATAGTTACCTTGAGAAGCCTTATTTAAACACCCTTAACTTTGGACCACAGAATATTTCCTAGCTCTGCTTTTTGTATAGTTGTATAGTTGTTGCTAGGTGTTGGTAAACACTAATATTCTGCTATAAAGTCAGAGCCTGAGTATTTTTCAAGTCACTGAACCCTAAACACCTAGGTTTTCTAGACCTTGGTATTATAGCAATTATGCAACCATATGACCACAAATTCTCAATGACTGTCCAATCCACACCAATTGGGTCAATGATCTCTTACTGGAATTAGTGAGTGTGACTCTCAAATTAGTACCTAGGCCTGCCGAAACCCTTACACTTAGCTGTTACATGCACCAGGCACAATAAATAGATGGAGGATTCTGCCTGTATTTATGGATAAAGATAAACTCCTATAAATAAGTATATAACAACTCTCTAAATGTCATCTGACTTCAAAGCATGATCTCAAAAATGCCCTATAAAACAAGAAACTCTATAGAAGACAACATCAACAAAAACAGAACTAGTTCAATTACAAATCATTACAGAAATGCTCAACAACAAAATGACAGAAACCAAGGATAGAATGAACTCAAAGTTATGGTAGAGGATATTATAAATAAAAATAGAACTGGGAAAAACACAACTTTAAAAACTGAAGAGATGGAGAGATTAATGCAGGGTATTAGGTGCATACCCTGCATGAAACCAACCCTAATTCAAGCATTGAAAATGGGTGTGGAGGTCCAGAGCAACAATGGGATGTCCTGGAAAATTCGTTCTACCACAGAACCTAAAGCAAACTTTTCAGTTGACAAAGAATCCCTGTGAAAGTTGACAGGCCCACTGAGCTCCACTCAGATCCCCTCTAAAATAAAAATTAATTGATAAAGAAATAAATCTCTAAGACATCAATAAAGGAAACAGTCCTAGAACATGGATCTCACAAAGGAGAGAGAAAGAGATGGTGAAGAATACTTAGTTCAAGAAATAAAATAATAGACAGGAAATCCCCCAAGCTGAGGAAGGAGACAGATACTCAGAATCAAGAAGCTCAGAATTTCAGACACAGGATTCTAATAGAAAAAACAAAACAGCACCAAGAAACAATATAATTTGAATGGAAAAAGTGAAAGATACAGATGGAATCCTTAAAGCAGCAGGAGAAAAGCAAAGACTCAATATAAGGAAATCTTTATAAGATTTAAAGTAGATTTGCCAAATAAAATTATAAGGTCAGAAGAGAATGGTGTAATATATCCAAAGTGAAAAGACCTTCTATCGGGAATTTTATCCAGTAGGTTATCACTCACAGTAAAAGGAGTGATACAAAACTTTTCAGATAAAAACAACTAAAGAAATTACTGGACGCTGAACCAGTTCTGTGAGAAATACTAAGTGGTTTCCTATAAAAGAAATCCCACTGGTATGTAACAAGATAATAAACATAAAACAGTAAAATATAGAAAAGAACAAGTGTACGAATGTGTCTGTTAGAGTGAACTTGATACTCTTTAAGTACAATAGAGGATATAAACTTAGAACTTTGGGTGCAAACATCATGGTAACATTAATACAAAAATTCTGGAAGAAACAATCAGGATGAGGCAAATAACACTCATCATTATAAAAAAGGCATGAGGATAAAGTAAGAGAACGTCACATAACAAAGAGAAGCTTGACTATCACCAGAATCCTCAGGGAAAAAATGCAATATATAGATTTATAGCAAATTTAGTCCAGCAGATTGAACTCACTAATCAAATGACATAGTGGCCCTGTAGGTTAAGAAACAAAAACTAACCTTCTTTGCTAATAGGGTGTGCATTTAAGTGATAAACACAGGCTCAAAAGGTAGGGGGAAAATCATACAAACAAATGAAGGCCTAAGTAAAGCGGGTACAGACATTCTTATATCAGATAGAATTAATTTTAAATGAAAAATGATAAAAGACATATTGGTATATACGTGCATATAATAACTATTGAATTAAATTAGTTGTTTAAGTTAAAAAAGAATAAATTTGGTTTATCAATCTAATCTTACTTTTTTGGGGGGAAGCACACCCCATGGTACCTCAAGGCTTACTCTTGGCTCTGCATTCAGTGATCACTCCTAGCAGCTTTGGCGCACCATGAGAAGTTCCAAGAATCAAATTTGTATTTGTTGCTTGCAAGGCAAGAACCTTATGCCCTGTCTTATTGCTTCAGACCCTCTAATCTCACATTTAAGAAACTAGGAAAAGAACAATGAAAAGCCTCAGTCAGTCAGAGAAAACAACAACAACAAAATAACATAATAACAACAATAACAAAATAACATTTTGAGCGGATATAAATTAAATAGAAATGAAAACTATGAAATATTCGTGGAAAACACTACTTCTGTGAAAAAATAAGAGACTCATGAGATAAAAAGTCTCAAGAAATTAAGAAAAGGGAGAAGCAGTCTGTGATAGTACAAGAATGAAAGTGCATATAAACCTTACCTGGGTTTAATTACCTACATCATGTGGTTCCTGAACATTTCCAGGTGCGGTCTTATATTCCTCTAAACATCTCCTCTCCTTTCCCTATTCTACCTCCTCAATTCCCAGTTCAATTCATATATGTTTGCATTGGGGAATTTCTAATCCCTTTCTTTGTTTCTTTGTACTCTGCATATAAGCACAATTACCTGGTATTTACCCTTTACTTTCTAACTCAAGTCATTTAACATGACAGCATCCAAATTCCATTAAGCTGCAAATTTTCATCTTTTCTCATACATAGTTAATATTCAGTTGTGGTGTGTGTGTGATCCCATCCAGTAGGGTATCTTTATATTAGATCTGATTTCTTACTGAGTGAAGTGGTTTTAAATTTGTTACAGTTCTTTTCTTATTTCTGTTTTTATTTTCTTTGTCAATGGAGTCATACTGAATAACATCTAAAGTAAAAATCTTGGAGAATCTTGCCTATGTTTTTCTCCATATAGTTTATAAAGGCAGGCTTAATATCCATTTTGAATTTACTGCAATGCATAGAATGAGATAGGTGTTTAAATTCATTTGTGTGCGTGTGATTATTTCCTCAGTGTCATTTGTAAAAGAAGATCCTTTTGCTTAGGAAGTGAATTATTTTTTAATCCAAAACTTTATTTTTAAAAGCACAGTGAATTACAAAATTACTCATATAGTTGGGTTTTTGTCATACAATATCCCATCTCCAATCCTGCCACCAGTGTCTTCTCCTCTCCTTAGTGTTCCCAGACTCCCTCTCCCCCCCGCCCCACTCCAGCCCCAGCCACTGTGAATTCTTACACAATAAAGGTTTCTTCTTTCTTCAAAGCTTGGTTACATTCAAATGTTATTTTTGAGTACTTACCTTCACTTGGGCTGGAGCAATAGCACAGCGGTAGGGCATTTGCCTTGCTGATCCAGGTTTGATTCCTTTGCCCCTCTCGGAGATCCCAGCAAGCTACCGAAAGAATCTCACCCACAAGGCAAAGCCTGGCAAGCTACTCGTGAAGTATTCGATATGTCAAGCACAGTAACAAGTGTCACAATAGAGACATTACTGGGCCCGCTTGAACAAATCAATGACAGGAGGACAGTGACAGTGACAGTGACCTTCACTTGATTATTTTTATTTAAAAACCTCTAAAGAAAGGGTATATATGATGCATTCATATATTCATGTGATTGAAACATGCAATTGAAGTAACTGTGACATTTTTCTGAAATATTCAAAAGACAGATAACCTGAAAGTTGGAGACTAGATAAATAATAAAAATTCTGTTATTTGCAGATTTATCCAGAGGTTTAATTCTCTAGGGAAAATGAGCTTTGTTATATACCCTTTATATTTAAATGAAAAAAAATTGCAATGTTCAATTTCCAATTGTTGTTTTTATTTTTGGACATATCTGGCAGTGCTCAGAGCTAACTCCTGGCTCTGTGCTCGGGGATTACTGCTATTGAAATTCTGGGATCATGGGGTTCCAGGAATCAAACC